CCAGACTCAGAATCTGTTGACCATACTAAGTACACGCGTCAGACTCAGAAACTGTTAGCCATACTAAGTACACACGCCAGACTCAGAAACTGTTGGCCGTACTAAGTACACACGCCAGACTCAGAATCTGTTGGCCATACTAAGTACACGCATCAGACTCAGAAGCTGTTAGGCATATTAAGGATTCATGTCAGACTCAGAAACTGTTGGCCATACTAAGTACACACGCCAGACTCAGATACTGTTGGCCATAATAAGTACACACGGCAGACTCAGAAACTGTTAGCCATACTAAGTATACACGTCAGACTCAGAAACTGTTAGCCATACTAAGTGCACACGCCAGACTCAGAATCTGTTGGCCATACTAAGTACACGCGTCAGACTCAGAAACTGTTGGCCATACTAAGTACACACGTCAGACTCAGAAACTGTTAGCCATACTGAGTACATACGCCAGACTCTGAAACTGTTGGCCATACTATGTACACACGCCAGACTCAGAATCTGATGACCATACTAAGTACACGCGTCAGACTCAGAAACTGTTAGCCATACTAAGTACACACGCCAGACTCAGAAACTGTTGGCCGTACTAAGTACACACGCCAGACTCAGAATCTGTTGGCCATACTAAGTACACGCATCAGACTCAGAAGCTGTTAGGCATATTAAGGATTCATGTCAGACTCAGAAACTGTTGGCCATACTAAGTACACACTTCAGACTCAGAAACTGTTGGCCATACTAAGTACACACGCTAGACTCAGAAACTGTTAGCCATACTAAGTGCACACGCCAGACTCAGAAACTGTTAGCCATACTAAGTACACACGCCAGACTCGGAATACATACTAGTGACATCATTAGGAGTATACAAACAATAGGTTTTGAAAATCGCCTCAATATGTTTTCTCACAAACCGGGCTGTGTTATATTGTTAAATTGAGGCCGATTTGAGTGTTTTATTCGTTGAAATATTTAATCCTCGTATTACTTGACTGACCTAGAACTGTTGTGTAAAGTATACACTAATATTAAAATACTATTATATGCGGGTTGCATTACAACTGATATTGCAACCATCAAACCAGTGTAAATAGTGAGAGTTTCACTTAGTTTGGCTGGGTGGATGGACTTTAACGCTTGCTCTGCTGCAATAACAACTTGCTTGCGAAACCTAAAGCAGCAATAGCTGTAACTATCGATCTTTTTCTTTCTAATTTTATGTTTAATAAACCATTACTGTCACTACTGACAGTTTGTAATGCCCATCGCTGATGGCCATCGAAGCCATAGCATGTACGCTATATACCGACGTTGTACATTAGATCACTTGCAACTGAAAAAGATGGCCGTGGAGTTACGTTCAGGTCTTTCGGAACCCAATTTTGTCAATTGAACCTCAGAGATTATCATAACGGTACAAGATGACAACTCACAGTACCGTGGGCGAAATGTCAAATACCTCGACATCTGAGAGAAAATGCCTTTCTCTGACGATATTTCAGTGATGGTTTTATGTGTAATTTCCAATAATAGTGTGAGCCGTATGCCATAATTGTCTACGGTTACTACAACCGGCCATTAGACGTTATTCTTAATGTTTTAGATAAACATGTTCTTTTAATAAAGTTTGCCGTTAGTAATTAGGATTCGGTTAATATTCATATTGTTTAATTGTATTCATTAAATCAATACTAGTAATGTCTTGTCCCAGGAAGTGTCAAAACTTGTCATGCATTATTTAAGAGTAGATCATATTTCGTTGAAAATGTTTGTATGTACATGACTTTAGAAAAACATCCATGTAATGTTTGTTTCCTAGTGCTTAGACATTACATTTTCTACAAATTCAAGTGTGCACAATTTGATATTTATTCAAATGTTAAGCGGCCAGTTTTTGTTGCGATCAAAGTAATGGCTATGGCAAACAAATCTCGTTCTTATTGAATCCAATTAAATTCACGGCAACAAATTAATGTGACTCGATTAACATACTAGATTATACATCAGCCTGATCCTAACATTAAAATGTGAATGACAACTCTTGATGATACAACAAAAAACAAGTTTATTCATTATGACAACCATTTAAGTATAAACTCATAGTTGCTGTCGACATAGGAAGTAAAGTAAGCAAATAACACCGAATAAACGGCAAGGTAAAGACTATGTCTAATTATAGTAAATACGTACTGCGTGCGTGACTCGAACCGGCGCTCGCGTACGGCACCTAATCGCCTAGCTTCACGCCACTACACGTCTTCCCCTCGGCCACCGGGCATCCCCAAAAAAGGATGCTTAATAACCGAGCTTATTACGTGCAGAGAACGTGAAACCCGTCCACGCGATACGCGCCACACAGCATGGCCAGAATGCGGCAAAGGCCTTCAGATCTGGCTGTAGTAGGATGGTGAAAGTAACGGTACAGCATTTTAACAGTGAATAAGTACTGAGAAATAATTTTTAAACTCATAGTTGCTGTCGACATAGGAAGTAAAGTAAGCAAATAACACCGAATAAACGGCAAGGTAAAGACTATGTCTAATTATAGTAAATACGTACTGCGTGCGTGACTCGAACCGGCGCTCGCGTACGGCACCTAATCGCCTAGCTTCACGCCACTACACGTCTTCCCCTCGGCCACCGGG